CTGCAGTCTAAACAAGTGCAACCTTGCTTTTTTGTTGTTGTTTGACAGATAAAGACTGGGAGGACATTAAAAAGATGCCCGAGCACTCCACACTGATGAAAGACTTTAGGAGGAATACGTGAGTCTGCAAAAAACCCCAAAAAACTCTGTCCTAATTTCTTAAATCTAAGATCTAAAACAAAACCAGAGCAAAAACTGTCTGCTGGGAAAAAGGCATTTGGAGTTACACTTGTTTAAATATCTGTATGTATGTGGTAAGTTTACATACAGAATTATTAATATATGTTGCGTCATTTCTTTGGTAGATACACAAACTGCAGCCTTATAAAGTACATGGAAAAGCATAAAGTAAAACCAGACAGTAAAGCATTCCACTTGGTGAGTTTTATTAACAAATCTGTCCAGTATCATTTTGATTCATCTGCCTATTTCACACTAACGCCTATCTTTTCTCGACAGCTGCAAAAACTGTTGACCATGGACCCCATCCGTAGAATCACTTCTGAGCAGGCGATGCAGGACCCCTACTTTTTAGAAGAACCTCTACCAACCTCTGAGTGAGCTTCTGAAGCACACACATCCACCTTATCGGTCACTTAACAGCCTTTAGATAGACTCACAGGATGCAGACTTGAATGTGTCTCCTGGCTAATTAGATCTCGTTCCTAGAAATAAGCATATAAAGGTGACCAATTTTTTTGTGTGGCTTTTTTCTTCTAGTGTGTTTGCAGGCTGTCAGATTCCTTATCCCAAGAGGGAGTTCCTGACAGAGGAGGAGCCAGAGGACAAAGGAGACAAAGTAATATCCATTTGGTGTAGTGCCCTCTTCCATTCAGTTTACAGGGCCTTAGAAAAATACCCAGTGATAATTTTTCTCAAAATGATCACAAACTTCAAAATATTTCATTGGAACTTTATCAGGCTGGGGAGGTAGAATCTTAATCAGAGAAGCAGCCAAGAGGCCTACATTAACTCTGAAGAGCTACAGAAACACTCCAGCTAGGCAAAGATCCTAAACATACAGCCTGAGCTACTATACAATGGTTTAGATCGAAGCATTTCCATGTTTTGATATGTCCTAATCAAAGTTCAGATTTAAATCTGTGGCCATCTGGGGGAGACTTGACTGACACACCTCAAAATGCAGCACCGTGTGGTTTTATAAAAATTACAGATGTTTGAATGCAAATGCAGGCCACACTTTCAGTTTAGTTTCAAAAAATGTGTATATGAAGAAAGAACATGCATCATTTTGCACACTTTGTTTTGATCAAAACCATAAAATCCCACTGAAATCCAGTGAGGCTGTAATATGACATTATCTGAAAAAGTTGGAAGTTTTACCGCTCATAACCTTGCATCGATGGCCAGATTCACGTTTATAAAATCTTGTTTTGTATTTTGTAGAAAAACCAGCAGCAGCAACAGGGAAACAACCACACAAATGGGGCAGGCCACACCGGTAACCCTGACAACAGCCACGCCCAGGGCCCGCCACTAAAGAAAGTGCGAGTTGTCCCACCCACCACTACCTCAGGTGGCCTCTTAATATCCTCAGACTACCAGGTGAGTGCTTCTGTCCTGGCATCAAACCCAGGTCCTTTCTCGCCATGCAGGAGATATTTCAGATAGAACTTGTTGGACATCTTCAGCCAGAAAGAGTTCCCCCTTGAACCTCCAAAAAACAGCTTTCCTCTTTCCTCTCTTTGCTGCTTTGAGGGATAGCTCTGATCGCTGTCTTCAATTGTTTTCTCACCTTAAAAAAATGACAAAAGTTGCTGTGTGACAAAAAGAAACCTCACAAAAGTCAGAAAGTTTCTAATTTGATGTGACTTGTGCTTACAAAGACGTTTGGCTAAACCGAACCTTGTTTTATATTCATTTTCTTTGACCCCACAGCGTTCAAATCCACATGCTGCCTACCAGAACCCTGGACCAAGCACATCACTGCCCCAAAGCAGCATGGGATACTCCTCTACCTCCCAACAGCCACCCCAGTACTCCCACCAAACCCACCGCTACTGAAACGCCCCTCCTTGCACATAATCACACGTATTTCTAGAACACGTACACACACAGCTCTTACCACGCCCACCTGAATGAATGTACTGAGGGTGTGGGGAGACCTTCCCCATCAACCAGTCAACTAATCGACTCTACAGAGGGTGCTATATTTGCAGCAGTCTCGTCAACAAACTCTACTTGTTCCAGACAACAACCATAAAACAAATCCAGTATTAGAAACACAGCATAGAGCCTGAGTCGTGAAATAAGAAGCAGGAGGGCAAAAATGAAAGGAAATGTGATTGAATCCAACCTGTTTCTGCTACTCAGACGTAATAAAACCGACCAAGAGTCTCTTGCGTCGTCTCCTCTCCTCTGTGACTGACCCTCTCCCAGCCAGTGCACCCCCTTCCCGTCAAAGCTTGGACGAACCTGAAAGCTGCTATGTGACTGCCGGCCATGACAGATTCCCAGCCTTTTCCTCATTTCTGTTTCCGTTCATGTGAGGGCTGGAATCAGCTGCTGGGAAGCATGCTGGGTGGATGCGGCTCTCCCGCATCTGTTGAGTGGATTTTTCTTTTTTCTTTTTATTTCCAAAGGAGGACAAAGAAAACGACAAGATTTTAGTAGTTTATAATTTAATCTGTTGTCATGGTTTTGTTTTCATGGCAAGAGCGGCTTGCCTGAGCCTAACATTCGGCCTCTCGCTGTGGGTTAAAGCCTTAGAGTACATGATGACAAAATCAACCAGTGGCATGGAGGAAGGCCGATTGAACATGCATTGTTCTGTAATGTACTGAAATATTTTACATGAAACAAATATCCTGACAATAAAAGTGGAAACATGAAGTTTGGTGATCATTTTTAAGCATGTGTGGAAAAGCATTATGTCCAAAGATGACAAGATACAAGTCGAGAACACTGGGATTTTGTCTTTGCTTTAAGACAACTCTTCTTCTCAAAAGCAGGAAAGTTACTTCATCTTTGATATTAATTAAGAATTGATAAGTCTTTAGATGCTAATTCCTAAAAATCAGGACACAACAAAATAGTCTGTTTTAAAACCGGGTAAATGTAGCTCTAGCTACAAAGGATGATGAGTCTGGGTATGTGATCATGAAATGTAATATTCAGAAAATAAAGTTTTACCCAAAGTCTGGTGTTTTAAAGACTGTAAGCAATAATACAAGTAAATGAAATGATTGTAAAGTAAATTCAGGTGGGAGAAACCTTTTCCCATTTTTTTGTCGACATAAAACTCATGAAACAAAAAAACAAACAAAAAAAAAACCCATGAAACCAATACTAATAGAGGGAAATAGAAACTGTGCATCCTAGAATAGTGGCAAGTACTTCCAGTGAACATATATAAACTGTTAATGTTATATGAATATATATGAGACCCCAAAATGACAAGAGTGTCAGCAGATTAGAACAAAGAAGGTTGTGTACAAACGTCTAAACTTTAGATGTGGATTAATGTTTAGATAAACATGTTTGTTCTTTGGTCCCTGAAGTGACTTGCAGTTAGAGTAACCAGAAGTTTTACTCAACTAAGAATGGAGATACTTCATGCTAATATTACTCAAGACTATACAGTAAGACTACTCCTAGTTGTACAGTTTATTTCCCAAAATGTTTCTCTCTGGTAGACAACACACAAACTTCTGGCATTTCAGATCCCGAAATTGAATATGTGTTGTCCATTACTGGGAAAATATCTTAAGGGCAGGCAGATTAGACGGAGAGAGTCTGTGAGCATCCTTTTTTACGTCTCGGTACAGACTTCCAATTAAATTTAGGTCTGGATTTGTAGAGTATTCTAACATACGCATGTGTTTTGAACTAAACAGTTCAGTTGCATGTCTTGCTTTATGTTTGGACTGTTTACTCTGCTTTAAAGCTTGGAATATTATAACTTAACTCTGATTTAAAAATGTAAACAACTTTATCCTTAAAATATGAAGGAGAATACGATACTCCTTGATCTAAAGAAATTGAAGTTGGTTAAAAAGAATTGTCTGGCAAGGCTTTAGGACTCCAGTAAGATGCAGAGAATACATTATTCACAAAGGATGCATGCTACAATTAATCTCACTCCAAAAAGCTCCTACCTTTCTGAGCATGCAATATCAAACAAGAATCTGCCGCATAACTCACTCGACCGGTCACACCAATCAAAAAATGTGCTTAAAAATGACAAGTCAATTGCATTTATTTAAGCAGAAGATATTGGACACCAAGTAAGATGGGGAAGAGGTGGAATAAAAGAAAGCTTCTCAAAATATCAGCTACTTTTAATATGTTAATTTTGACATTGCTATCTTGTATTTGTTTTATTATTTGACCAATAAAAGTGGGAGCAACTCAGAGAGTTCTGGAAAGCATTAAAGCATTTCAAAATGCATTGATTTTTCTTCCTTTACTGTGCAATAATGTGACATGTCTCCTTTGCTTACATGTCTTTTTTTTTTTTTTTTGCTTTTCTGTTGCAGACATATTTTGCTGACTATTTTCCTCTAAGCACACAGTCGAAACACTAGACCATAAATCTGGATCAGGTTTTGTTGAACCTTTTTTCTGAAGGATGCTGGCCCAGCTATTTTTGTAATACAATGCTCAGCTTACTCATTGTATCAGTGCTTTGTGTCAACTTAGAAGCACAATCAAAATTTCGGAGGCTGCTGTTCGGCATTTTAGAAAGTATCCAAATGAAGTAGCGATAAGATTGTAAATATTATCATTTATAGCATCTGATGTAGACATGCTAGTTGAATGGAGAAAAATCCTTTGAGCAACGCCCAGCTGTGGCCCCGCCTCTTCCATTCTCAGCATTGCTTTAGAACTGGGGAGGTTCCCTGTCAGTCATTCTCTTACAGAGATCCCATTGGCTAACTGGAACGTCTATCACGTGATAAATCCTCTGCTCTGAAATATGATTGGTTGAAATGGATGGTGGGCGTGTCTTCATCCTCAAAGGATTTTCCCCAGAGTGGCCAGACGGGCAGGGGGACACAGGATGGCAGAGCTAGTAGGAGTAACTAACGGGACATGCGGACGGAGTGATATCTTCTAATATTTCAAGTTCTGGTGAGGGCTTTATGATACTTTTTACAATCAACAGTGACACCACGTATTTTAGTAGTGACATTTATATAGATAAGCCCGCAGACTCTGGTCTAATTTGACCAAACTAAATAGTCAGAGACTGGACATAAGCTAGCTAACCAAAGTGGTCAGTCTGAGCGGACCCCCGGCGTACGAGCATATAACACCCGAAACATTGGATATTATCCCTGCTGCCTGGTTACTTGGAAGCTATAATAATTCGTGCTTATTAGAGAACCCAAATCGGTTAAATTTTGGATTATAAATAGAAGAAAATTTGGGGACCGAGAGATGAACAGATGTGGGTCAGTCCACTGGTAACGAAAAGCGACGGTGCGGAACAGTAATTGATCGCGGTTGCCATCAATTTACGCCTCGGTGTACGTGTGTGTGCATGCTTTTGTCAGCCTGAGGGGAGGGAAACTGAAGAGAGTGCTTAAACGTGAAATTTAGACATCTAAATAATACATTGAAGAAAGAAAAAACACCAAATATGATTGGTTGAAGTGGCTAAACTGGAAATGGTAAGGATGGAAAATGTCATTGCAGTAAAAAAAAAAAAAAAAGAGCGGCTAAACTTGACAACATTTTGATTAGTCAAGTAATAATTTCCTACAGTGTAAGTTTATGTAAAAATACCACGCACAGCAATTTACAACAAAAATAGATAATTGAGTTTTATTCTAAACTGATTATAGCACATTGATTTGTACCTTCATAATTTTTATTTTGATATGTATTTGATCGAACCATAGTTGTCATATTTACTTGCATATATATATATATATTTGTTTTTAGCAGTCAGTATCATATCTGTCTGTAGAAATAGGGTCAATCCTAATTGTCCTGGTTACAGTTAGCTCCTTAGCAGATTTCTGTCTTTCTCAATCACAAAAATCTCAATGGGTTAACGCTGTAAGTTAGAGCTATACAACAGTGTTACTTTTTCAAAAGATATATTTTAATATTTAATCAACCCCAACCGCAGTTGAGCTGCATTTAGGTGATTTGTATTTGGTTGGCTATTCTGACAACATTGGACTCAAGCGCTGTCCAATGTGAATTTATGTTTAGTAAATTGAGGAGTAGGGATGTTATAGCTGTATTGAAATCAGTATCAGTTGATGTTAGTCATTTCTTAACACATCCATTTAGTCCCATAAGTAAACTGGTGTCATTAACAATGTTTATTGCCATCTTGTTCATGTGTTTTTGGGAGGAGAGGAGACTGGCCATGTGGTATTTGTATGGGCATGTGATAGTGAAGAAGAGAATCAATGTCGATGGTGTGGCCACTTTTTCCAGTGCCGAAAGGATAAGAAAGCATATACATTATGTAAAATATTGATGCAAAATTTGGATGTCGTCCCAAATTTTCTTACCGATGCATCCCTATGGAATCGACTTCCTTTGCCCTTTTTGCCTTCATTAAGTTAAGATAGAGACAGCAGCAGCCAACATGCCAGAAAACAAGAAGAAGAGTGTGGGAAATCTTCCTTGTCACATTGCCTTACAGAAAGAAGGCTGTAACAGTCAGTGGACCGACGCAGATAATACTCCATGTGAAACTAGTTCCAAAACGGAACCTCTCAGTTGTACTAGAAGCTGGACGTAGAGCATGTATTACAATATTAAAGATAAAAAGTGGCCTAAAACGCCCAAATTATTAGGGAGAAAAAAAGGCAAATATTGAATTACCCACTACATTCTTTTCCCAGTACGTCAATAAATGTCTAATTTAAATATAACTGTAAAGGTTTATATAAAAAAAGGAAAACCACTTAGAATAAGGTAGTTTTTGTTTCACTGTTTTAACATTTTTACTATTACTTTCTCCACAGTTATGCTTTCTATCATTGCAGTAACATGTTCAGTGCTATGTGCCTGATTGACATGAAACAGTGAGAAATAATTAATTGATTAATAACATGCATGCATCTATCTGTGGCATTTTGATATAAATCAGGATTAGCTGCTCCTGCAGGCTCAGGCTACCAGCGGGACTTAGAATGAAATTTATACTGTCTTAAAATATAGTAAACAAAAAAACTAATTAAAGCCTGATAATTATTATTTTTTTAAAGCTGATTGTTCATTTGACCATTTAACAAAACCTATCTGGTGTGTTTTTGGCATCATACTTGATACAATGATTTTTTTTTCAGTCATGTAGTTGTTGGAAAAACATTCTTTTTATGTGATTATGTAGAATATATAAAATATTGGTTTTCATGTAGTGCAGCAAATTTTTTAAGTAAGGTACAAACTTTGTTAAAGAGGTTGAAGTAGATATTAGTATCAACATTTCTGGTATATCTGGTGAAATTTGACTGGCACTGTAATGCGTGAATGGTGATAACTGTGTAACGACTATCTCTGTCACATCACCTGCTTCACTTTGGTCTCTTTTATATGCTATAGTTCTTAAATTTAAAAATAGGTCAAAATCAGACATCAGAGTCCTCTTTTCATCCCAGCAGGATTTTATATTTAAAGGAGTTTTTCCCAAATTCCACTACGTTTATCCCTGAATATTATTAGAACCAGTAGAACCTGGTTCTCGTTTTGTTTTTAGACATCATATTTGGGGCAGTGAGGTCTGACGTAATCCAGGATGCATTATTTATAACATCAGAACAAGCAAAACAGCCTCCGACACGAGAAGCTGGACGTAGAGCATAAATTGGTAATGACCCGCCTTTCAGAACTTAATGGAGCTCTCAGGTCTGTAGTAGTAAGGCCCGGCGGCCGCAGGGGAGCCGAGTTTCGTCCCGGATGCAGCCTGAGCGTCACGTCTCGAAGGATGAAAGGTTGGGTTTTTTGGGCTAACTACTGGGATATTTGAGAGGCTACCTGGTGGGAGTTTTTTTTGGTGAAGGGCTGAGTGTGCATGCTGCGTTGGAATAATTAAAGCGTCCAAACACATGACCCTGAGGAAGCGTTAGGCACCGTAAGCACAGGAGTGAGGATATCTGTCAAGTTTGAGTTCAGCCTTTTCAGAAGAAGGAGAGCTTGCTTGCTTTTGGGGGGCTTAGAGAAGGTTGGGGAAGAAGATGAGGAGGAGGAAGAGGAAGGTGGAGGGGAGGGGGATTTATGGGAGCGCTAGTGCTGTTGCCGTGTGAACGGAGCTCTATTGTCCCGGGAACCTTTCAGTGGTTTCCCTGAGGTCCCTCTCCAGACCCATCCCCCCACTCAATCCAGCCTTTCTCCATCACACAAACACAAAAACACACACACACACATATATATATATATGCTCTGCTGTCTCTTTCCCACTCACCCTTAAAACACACTCTTTCTCACACACACCGTCTCATTTACTGCATCTCAACTGTCACACTCTTATCCCACTTTGCGTCTCATTTAGCGCGCCCTCCTCTTTTCCCTTCATGTCTCACAAGCAAGACGAGGCTCCCACAGCCCCACAACCCTCCGGTTGCTCATTATTTCGCTTCATCAGTGTGATTGTCATGCAAGCCAGACAGTGTGAGCAAAAACATGCAATCTTCTAATTTGCATCACCTCCTTTCCAACAGAAAACACAGTGTTTCCAAAGTGTTCATGCAGAAAGCTGAAAGCCGTGGTTTTGGGACACTTCAGGCATCTTGTTGGCTGGATTAGTCATTCTTTGTGGCAGCCCATTATGGGTGTAATTTTACACTTTGTTTTAGCTTGTTGGCATGATGCTGCCGGATCCAGTTAGGAGTCTGTGGGTGGAAATCATTCTGGCTGACTGATAGCTAAACAGATGACATGTAATTACTGTGGTTTCCTATTGAGAAATGATGCTTCATCATGTCATACATAAGCAAATTTGACTCTTTTACTCAGTTTTACTTTTTTTTCTGCATGATTCAAATGATCAAATGAATTTTAACATAAAACAGAGAGAACACGAGTGATGACAATGGAGCACGTATTTTGGAAAGCTGAGTTTGACTACACCGGCCACACCCAAGCCTGAGTACTGCCACACCCGTAAAGTCGAGAAATCCTTTTAATAAAACCTGTCTGATAAGAGGAAACGGGCCAAAGGGTCTAAAAAAGCAACACATCATGCCCTGATCTTGGGAAAGTAAAGAAAAGTTGAGAATCAATGGCATTTACATTCACTTTCAATCCTAAAGTTCTTCAAACTCTGACAGATTCACGGTTCAAAGCAATTTTTTAATTTTATCAACATTTTTCTTCCAAATGGAGAGTAATTATTGCGAACGAGTCCTGACTTGAATCTGCTGGAATATCTGTGGATACCTCAAAGACCTGGAATACATCAACACAGATAAATCATCAAAACAACCATGAGAACCGCCATTAATTATTGAGAATAGTGTGAATAGTTTTCAACATTCATTTTAAAGAAAAAAAAATACTACCTAAGTTCTGTTCCCCAAAATAGATTCCATGTAATATTGTTTTATTATCTTTCACCTGTTTTGTTTTCTACAAGCATCTTTGTTGCATAAAACAAATTATAAATCTAAATCAGCTGGAGGTTTGAATACATTATGGCAGGTCAGAAAGGTTTATGAAGCCATTTCTGAGGCCTTGGGAGTTTCATAGTATTCTTGGAGGATCAGGACTTCACGTTTTAATTTGTCGCCAAGAATTCCATTTTATTCAGGTTTTTATTCTGTGTTGTCTATGTTTCATGAGCCAGTGTGCTATTATTAGCCCTGTGTTGGGCTGCCAGGTCTCCCGTGTCGATGCAACCCGCTTTTCTCTCTTTTCAGAAAAACTGTGCAGTAAAAACACTCTGGAACCATAACTGAGCCTGGATCCTTTCGGGGACATTTTGTTTGGTAAACTCTCCTTCTGATTGTCCAGCTGCGACTGTATTGTTCTTTCCAAGCGTTGAGCTGAGACGGGAAGGTTTGCTGTGACACCAGAGAAGGACCAGGAAACAGGAAGAAAACTGGAGCTGCAAAAACAGGAAGCAGGCAGAGGGACTGATAAGACGACTGCTCTCTGATGCTCAGAGAGTAAGAGTGTGTGGTCCTACTGCGCCTGAGCGCTAATTGAGATAGTCATGTTCAGATTTGCAGGGATTGGGAGCAAAGCGCAGTTTATTGTCTGCAGAAAGCCAAAGAAAAGAGAGCGTTGCCTCCGGGTGTATTAAAGTGTTTGTTTTTATTTCTGTTTTTCTTTTTTTGTGCTAAGCAGAATCTCTGGCAGTGACAGTTTTCCAGCTGGACCGGTGACAGGCTAGTCTGGGATTAGCTGGCATGTTGTATCTTCCCATCACTAAAGCTTTAATCTTTCCTTCGGTCACCAGGAGTCTCCTGGCTTTGGTCGTCGTTCCCAATCTTCCCATCAACAACTCACGCACACACACACACACAAATTGTTTTTACAGAACATACAGTGCTTTGCAAAACATTTTGGACCTTTTCCACATTTTACCAAATTACAGCTACATAACTTGGATGTGATCTGGGGCAGGGATTTTATGGGATATACCAACTTAAAGGAAAATTATACATCGTTTTCATCATACTAAATAAAAATCTAACATCAGACAGGAACCACGTTTCTCTTTCTAGACGCCAAATGTGAACCACGTTTCTATGCAGTGACAGCTGGAAATATCCACCAACATTCCACATCTGGAGTCAGCAATTTTTACCCCCATTCTTATTTGGAAGAAAGCTCAAACTCGGTCAGATTAGGGGGAGAGCGTCTGTGAACATCAGCTTTCGAGTCTTTCCACAGATATTCTCTTGGATTTAAGGCTGGACTTTAACCGGGTCATTTTAACATAGGGATTTACTCTGGTCTAACTCTGGATGAAGAAAAACATCCTCAATGCATGTTGCTGCCATATTCAGTATGTCTTGTCACTCGTTTCGTTGGCCATTATTGCTGTCCAGCGCGACACTTTGTTTGTAAATATGTATTACCCAGAACTCCTCTGGTGATCAAGTGTTCATTAAAGGAATGCCGTCTTTTTGCATTAAGGCAAAAATGTTTTTGATTTTCCTTTTTAAAAAGGTGATTAAATTATTATTATTATTATTATTTTTCATATTATGCTGTACTTTCTGTTTTCAGAGTTTTTTAGAAGAAGTTTTGTTGCTCCTCATCAGTTTCGATTCGTGACAGGATACTGACACGTTTCTACACTAAGCAATTAAATGTCTCTCTTGGGAAATTAGACTGCTTTCCGATATATAAACTTCAGCATTGATCATTGAAGTAATTAGGAGTTTGATCAATGCTTTGCTCATTAACGCCTCAGCAGATTAGATGCTGACCGTCTACATCTGTGTCTCATCTGATGTGTGTGTGCGTGTGTGTGTGTGTGTGTGTGTGTGTGTGTGTGTGTGTGTGTGTGTGTGTGTGTTTGCTCCTCCCTCCAGTCTGAGGCCTCGCCATGCCGCTGGTGAAGAGAAACATCGAGCCGCGTCACCTCTGCCGGGGGGCGCTGCCGGACGGCATCGGCAGCGAGTTGGAGTGTGTGATGAACAACACCTTGTCGGCCATCATCCGCCAGCTCAGCAGCCTGAGTAAGAGACACACACTCCCTGAAGCAAAGCATTCACACCACCGCTTCACGTTTTGTTGCCTCCAGTGTCCACGGTCGAGCTAAAGAAAAGCAATACCACATGATGGTGCTGCCGTCACCATGTTGGAACGGCGTGATTCGGGTGATGTGCTGCCCTCTTTGTTGAGTTGTGGTTTCGTTTAACCAAAGCATCTTCTTCCAACTAATTGCAGGCGACTTTCAATTAAACAAACTGCTGCTTAAAATATGAATGTCTGAGTAAATCAAAAGAGAAAACAGATTGAAACTCTGGCAACACCGCCATTTAGCTTAGCATGAGGATGATAATTCTCTGCGGATCCTCTCTGCGCCGGCTTCATCATTAATCCTAAAGCTGTGATTGATTTGTATGTCGTCATGGTTACAGTGGTGGCGGGGTCACAGGGCTCGCTGCAGGCTTACGACAGCCTCGCACTGGGACACAGAGCGCTGAAATGTAATCATTTCAGACAGCGCCGCAAAAGGACCTGATCCGTCCAGTGGCGGGCATGTGACCGAGCTGCTACTCTCGGGGTGTGTATCGGAGTGTGTGTTTGTGTAAAAGCTGTTTATGCGCTGGCCTGTCGATATCATGGTCCACAGCAAAATGGAGTTTTTTACAGCCCCATCCATCTTCCATCTGCTTTCTGTTCCCACACACATCAACACACTGTTAATGGGTTTTTATTTGCTACTTAGCTGCGTTCATTTTCCAACTCTCGCATGAACTGTGCTGAAAGTTTCTTGTGGGATAAATTAAAACATCTATCCTCTCTGCTTTTTTGGCCCCTCCGTATCGATTCTGTCTGCGTCTTATTGTGTCAAGTTCCTGCCAAGGGAGTTGGCCTCTTAGCAACAGCTGTGTGGGTTAAATATAAATGCTTTCAAGGGCCCGACAGAGGAAATCTACATACTCGGTACGCCGTGGATGTTTTTGTGCACATGTGTGCGCGGTCAGGCCATAAACAGAGGCCGGGGTCGAAGGACTCAGCATGACGGATTTGGGATTCTTCCTTCCTCTAAATGTTTTTTCTGCAGCCCATCCTGTCAGCAGAAATAGCCCTGTGTTCTCTATAGGACGTTGGACATAATGTTCTGCACTGAAATAGTCATGAAAACTATAATAAAACTTCCCCTTTTTGATTTCAGTCAGGGTTGCAGTGAGCAACAATTTCCAATTTTAGGATAAGACAGTTTTTCCTACATTTTCTCCACTTAGCCACAGCTGTGAATGGCATGAAGAAACTATTGCTTAGCTTAAAAGTTTTTCTCATTTTCTTTAGGAAGCTTTAATTAGATAATAAAGTTGTTTTTTGTGTTTTTTTCACCTCTAAATCTGCCTTGAATCATAAATATGTCAATAAATTTGGACTTAATGCTCTCTGTGGTTGTGAAGTACAAACTTTAATGTACTTCATTGGTATTTAATGAGCAACACAAAGTAGTTTGTGATCGTGAAGTGGAAGAAAAGTGATGCAAAATGAAATGTTAAAAATTTCAAAATAGCATTTTTTTTTTTATAAAATCCTTCATAAGTCATGTGTTCAGTGGCGCCCCCAAAGGACAGAAGGAGGTGCCACGGCCCCACAAACCTAACCATTGCTCGAGTAACTTTTGTTTTCAGCAAACATGTTCTGGTCAAATGGGACCAAATCTGAACTTTTGCATCCTTGCATTGAAAATGCTTTATGGTAGAAAACTAACAGTGTATGCTGTAGAGGCAGCATCTCGATGTTGGGAATGCTTTTCTTCAGTAGGGACAGGGAAGCTGGTGAGAGTCGATAGAGATGAAGTTCAGTGAAGCGCTCCAAACGATGTGATGGAGCTTGAGAGAGAGGTGAAAAATGCTGGCAGACACAAAACCCAAAAATACACAATGTAGAAAGATTTGCCAGGTGTTTCAATGTGCTAATAGTAAGAGGTTTTAGTTTCAAATTAGTCGTTCTACGTTTCTCCTGTAAGAAATGTTGAAGTTTGGTGGCGTAATCATATGCAGCTGTTTTCGGTCACTTGCTGCACACTAATATCTACAGAGATCAATTTGGATGATTTATATTTGACTCATGTTAAATTATTCATGAGGTAATATCTTTATGGAGTCGTATGAGTTACAGTTCCCAGCACTGATCCTTTGACTCTCGTTATGCGTTGTATCACATTGTCTTTGTATCGATCGGACCTCAGGCCCAGTGGGGATCCGCTCGGCTTGGATTGAAGATTAAAGTCTCCGTCCTCCTCCTTCAGTTTCCCATCAGTTTTTTTCTTTTCCTCCTCTTTTCTCCAGGTAAACATGCAGAAGACATATTTGGCGAACTGTTTAACGAGGCCAACAATTTCTACCTGCGTGCCAACTCTCTGCAGGACCGTATCGACCGGCTCGCCGTCAAAGTCACACAGCTGGACTCCACAGTGGAGGAAGGTGGGTAGAAGGGTAGCGCAGCAAGCCGCCATCTGTCACCAAAGTGATGTCAGTCTTGCTTTTCATGATTTCTAATTACTGAAAATGCTTTTTGTTTTCATAACAGTGGAACCATTTCTCCATTTTTATCTCACTGTTTTTGTTCTCAGTTTCTCTGCAAGATATCAACATGAGGAAGGCCTTTAAGAGCTCAACCACTCAAGACCAGCAGGTGGTGTCCAAGAGCAGCGTTCCCATCCCGGTGAAAGAGATGTACAACCTGAGCGACAAGCCGCCGCCGCTCACCATCCTCACGCCTTACAGGTCCGCCTTCTCCTTGAACTCTGACAGTCTGCTGGCTGTTTACTGGTCAAATTCCTCAGAATATGCAGATTAAAGAGGCCTAATTCTTTATTAGGATAAATATTATTAGTATTTGATCAGATGCACATTTTACTACCTTGTCTTTGATAGTTACATATATTGCAAATATATTACAAATTAAAATAAACAGCTATGATTTTGAAAAATAAGAAATTCTGTTTAAAAAGCCCTAATTCTGAGCTTAACGGAGCTTAATTGAAGTGTTTGTGCTCCAGCGATCAATTTGCAGTTATGTTTTTACAATGTTTAGAGGAACATGATGGCATTTCTTCTTTTATTTATATTCTAGTTGTCATTGCTCTTAATCTTTATTTTATGCTTAGCTTTTGGTATAGATTTTGTATCTAGCTCTGCAAATGTTCACAAAATTGAAAGTCCACATAAAATATTAATACTGGAAACAATATCAGCCCAAATGTTCATATTTGTGCATCATTAATGTCTTATTCTGATTAGCAGAGTGGTCAATTATAATATTACTAGAATCTCATTGATGGCAATGAAAAGTGAATTGTGCCAAATATTAGTGGGGATGTATACAGATATTTAGCTTCTAATGAATAATTTGAAGCTTAAATTGATGTTAATTGTAAAGGAGATACCACTGGAACCTAAATTGTTTCTTTATTAGCCAAAAAATAACATGTTGTTCCTGTTGATGGTGGGTGGATATAAACCTGATCTGTATCCATTCAGGAGAGATCTGCATACCATAACATCCGCATTTGTTTTTTCATTTTTTAGAGATGATCACAAGGAAGCCCTTAAATTTTACACGGACCCGTCCTACTTTTTTGACTTGTGGAAAGAAAAGATGCTGCAGGACACGGAGGACAAAAGGAAAGAGAAGAGGAAGCAGAAGGTTATGAAGCTGGCTGGGATCTTCTCCCAATCAGTGCTAGGCTTTGATTTCCCACAGTGCTTGTCTGCAATCTGCTTACGAGATTTTAATTGCTTTCCAACCACAACTTTCTCCGATATTATGAAGAGTAAAACAAAGTAATTTCAGTGGAACTTGGTTTCAGAAGTGCTACCATCACAACTTTCGGAGAACATTTTATTTCCAAGTCGAATTTGAGGTTATATTGTGTTTTTTTTCTTACACTTTACTGCAGGAGCAGAGGCGCTGCGTGGATGGGACACTGCAGAGGGAGGTCAAGAAGGTCCGCAAAGCGAGGAACCGTCGGCAGGAGTGGAACATGATGGCTCTGGATAAGGAGCTGAGGCCAGACCACCGGCACACAATTCACAGAGACAGAGCCGCCTCCTCTGAAGGATCCATGTCACCAGAAAACAGGCACTTACGGAACAAAAACTGCATTTTTTTAAAACAATTTTCATTCCTATCACTGACTATATCATTTCTCTCAGGGGTCAGAGTGTGGATCAGCATCACTACCCCAACAGCATGAACCATGCCGGCCACGCCCACACCTACTCCGGCCCACCGCCCAGCATCCTGGCCGCCCAGATGGCTGCAGGACACGCCCCCCGGGGAGGAGGCGAACACGACGGTAGAGGCAGGACCATGATGGCCTACCAGGGCGGGACGCTGGGCCGGCCGCACCACCACCAAGCCCCTCTGCCTCTTCCACCAGCTGAGGCCATGAATGGCGGCTCTATGTCTCTGCCACCAATGGATTACAGGTAAATAAAGTTTAAAGCAGGGGTTAGATTGGAGAAAGCTACCAACACTGCAGGTCTCCATCTAAACTCACCAACTGGACAAGGAGAATATTTAGGGAAGCAGCTGAGAAAGCCAAGCGAGCTCTGGAGGAGAATCTGTCAGTAACAGGATAGTTATTTGTTATTTACTCCAAAAATCTGACCTTTATCTAGGAGTAGCAAGAAGACGGTAATACCAATTTTAAATTTTCCTTCCACTGTTTCAACCTAAACATAAAACACCTACATCATTGAAACAGGAGGCCTTTACAGCTTTACAGTTAAAAACACTCTCTGGCAGTTTTAAAGGTTTTAAATCATGTCTTTAAAAATCCAGAATAATATTAATTAAGTTTATTTATTTCAAGGGGTGTATCAAAAATGATCATTTTATGCCATATATTATTTTCTTATCAAAAACTTGGATTGCTGCCTTGATTATTTCATGTATTTGATATTTCCTTGAATTTGCCTTGGCAACCATTCAGGATTGCATAAGAAGTTTGTCTATTTCCATTTCATAGAAACTACTTCTCAGTCCAGGAAGCCTAAGTATTGCTGTAAACAAGATACTGGAGGTGCTGCGATGACGTGCTGAAGGCAGTTTTAGATAAACAAGAGCTTTTTAAAGAGACTGATGTCCAATTTCACAGCGTCAAATTGCGGAGTTTCTTTTCAGTTATATTCAGCATTTTTGCAACAGAAGGTAACATAGATAATTAGTTGTGCTATAAATTGTCACAATATTCTTGGAAATTACTTAACACTGCCCCTTTAAAATAAACATAATATAAACATTATATAGTATGAATATAATAGAAGTGCATCCAATAGTCCAGATACATTTAGAGTAACATTCAGGAAGAGGAATTTTCAGCTTTCGTTCTTCTCAGTATAGCTTTAATTAATTGCGGCTTACCGGCATCACTTTATGTTTCGCTCTCTGTGTTTCCATGAGGTTAAGGTTCAATCTGCAGCACATTGATCTCTTTCTTCAGCTGGTCTCCAGTAGCTGTATTATTATTCTTCTGAGGTTAATCTTAAAACCTTCTGGTGTTTTTAATATGTGTGTTTCTCAAAATCTCATTACCTGAGAAGGATTCACCTTCTTTCATTATTCTGCTTGAGCAATTAGATTTTAATGACAGAACAAATGAGAAACAGGGGACATAATTGTCTAGTCCCTGGACACTTTACGGATTTAATTTACAGGATCCAGCTAACAAAGGCTCACTTCTTTCCTTTCACACAACTCTGAGCTTTAACTTACCGCCAAATGGCTTTTCTTTGTTCAAATAGTGCCTGCTTTTGCTTGGTATCAAAAATACTTAACAGCTCAGGCTCTAACATGAAATGACTAACGCTGTGTCATTGCTGCCACCTAGTGTGTAGCTGCTGGCTGCTATGGTTTCTGTTAACTTATCCCTCTGTCTTCTTCTGCAGTATGGACGGCTATGCCAACACCGGCCCTCCCCCGCCGCCTCCTGCACCCCTCATACCTTCTGCACAGACGGCCTTCGCCTTACCACCCGGCGGCCCCATGTCCCCCGGCCCAATGGCCATCTCCGCCGGCTACGCTCCGCCTCCGCCACCTGTATGTGGAGCTCAGGGGGCTCCTCCGCCTCCCGGCCCCCCGGGGCCACCGCCTCCACCCGTCCCAGCTGGTGCCTCCCACTCCACATCCTACAAGATGTCTTCCGCGGCGCAGGCTGAGAACGCGGCGGTCAACGACGCTCGCAGTGACCTGCTGGCTGCTATACGCATGGGTAAGATTTACTCCACTTAATGCAGGAGAAGATGTAGATGAAGCAACCCACTTGATGGATTTAATAAGAAAAAACGTCTTTCTGGGTTTTTTTTTTATTCATTTCCATGTCAGACCTCAGTTTAAATCTTTTTTGGATTGTCAGTACTAAAGAGATCAACCAGTGTCGTTCTCTTTTTAAGAATATTCAGTACAAAAAGATGCCATAAAGGTTAAGACAGACACAGAGTGAAAAAGTGAATCTTTTAAAGGCCAGTTTCGAAAGGTTACAACATACTGTGATTCCTTGGATGAGAAGAAGGAATATATTTGGGGTCATTTATAACTTTTGATTGAGTTTATTCTAGAGCTGTTCTATTGTAGAATAATTCTCCCCCATTTCATGAACGTGCCAATAAAATGTGCTTTTCTGTCTGCAGGCATCCAGCTGAAGAAGGTGCAGGAGCAGCAGGAGCAGCAGGCTAAGAGAGAGCCGGTTGGGAACGACGTGGCCACCATCCTGTCGCGCCGCATCGCCGTCGAATACTCCGACTCGGAGGACGACTCGGAGTTGGAGGAGAACGATTGGTCAGATTAACATAAAAAAAACAAAAAACAACAACATGGAACTACTGAAACACGTTTCGTCACACGCTCACACTGTGGAACACTCCTCACTGCGACACACCCACAGACCATCAGAGACGCTGTAAAACACAGAAGCTGCACCTGAACACAATCACATGCTGTAGGGTCAATATAAGCTGTAATGTTTAAACTGGAAAATGCAAAAATACTGTACAAATATCGACCACTCTTCAATCTGTTGACCACTGAGCTTCATTCTACTACTTTGAAGCATTGTAAATAAACCCCAGTAGATGTGTCTCTATTATAACACTATAACACACCATGTGAAGGTATTTACTTCCTGTATAGTTGGAGCTTGAAACTATTAGAGCTATTAGAAAACCTTCCTCTTGCCCTAACTTGTGTACTTATCTTTTTTTAAAGTGTTTTTACTGACATACTTGTGTATGTATGCCATAGATCTTGAGGTAAGTCTTTAAATTGTAGATAAATATAACTGGAAGTATAGGGAGAGTTTAGTGGTGGCTTTTTGAAAGGGGCAGATCCGCTTTGGTTTAAAATGGGGTTCTGAGGGATTGTTACTAGTAATCAGTGTCTTACTTGTAGTGGCCATTTAAATGACCTGTTTGGAAAAACTGAGATCCTAAATGGATTTCTGCTGTGCTGAAGATACTGACCGCAGGTAGCAACTCCACAGAACCCCAACTTAACGTGACTTGCAGAAGTATTTATACCCTTTGAAGCTTTTCAGATTGTCATCTTACAGCCACAAACTTTGATACATTTTATTAAAATTCTGTGTAACTGACCAACACAAAGTAGTGAACGTAGAAGTGAAAACACCAGTCATATTCTCAGAATTTCTTCAGAATAAAAACGTAATTTTTGTACAACTTTGTTTCTATTTTGTGTTAGTTTCATCTCAGTTATGCACCACTTTGCGTTGGCCTGTTACGTGAAATACAATAAAAATACGTCAACGTTTTTTACTGTAATTTGACAAAGTTTGGTGTTTAAAAAGCTGTCAATGGAAGGACTATTTGTGAAATGTCTTATTATAAATGAGCCACCTGCGCTTGCAACCGCTCCCTGCTGTGAATGTGTGTGTGTGTTGGGGAACGTGGGGCGGGGCCCTAGTTTGTAACTGTAACCTCTGACCCAAAGAGAAATAAATTCATGAATGAAGGATCGCTCCTGAGCCTTGGCGTCTCTTTAACGCTCCGCTCTCGTCGCAGACGCACCTGGCCGCAGGACTTCGGTTGCCATCGCAACAGTGCTGCTATGACGGGAGTTGCCAAGGAAACAGTGAGCCACGACGAGGATGGAAAATAAACACTGGTTAGAGAAAAAAAAAAAATCAGTGGAGGCAGGAGTTTTATGCACAGCACATGTTTGTCTTTAATACAAAATCTCTCAGTGGAGTGCACTAACCAAAGCAATAAAAAGTACATCTAACACCTTGGAAAAATAGACGCCACGTTCACATAAACATTGTTTTTCCTTTACAATATTTCAGTTAGGTTAGTGCAGGTTGATTATCATTAATACGTTTCGTTTTGCAGATAAATTATTCGTTGTGCCATTTTCACCCCCCCAAAAAATAAAGTGCATTTCACATTGAAAATCACATCTACACAAGATGCTGTTACTGTGACTTCAACTTCATCTCCATCTTAAAAAAATGAATACATAAACAGCAACACACACTCTCACGCTCACACACACACATTCACAGGCCCTTGCGTGTTTTGATGCTTAGCTCTAAAATAGTAACCATCAGAAAGAAAGACGCCTCGTCCTGCTGGTCCAACATCTTTTCACTGATATAAAAAGAAAAAAGAATTTGTTCACATCTTTGTGCATTATTATCACAAAATAAATGCATTAAGTAGATAAACAAGGTGTTTTAAAAAAAAACCCCGATAATTACACCCAACCCCGAAGTTCATCAGCTTTCCTTGATACAAAGCCCTTATTCAAATGCTCAGCAATGAAAACCTTGTCAGTACAGCTGCAACAAGAGATTCACATTCCCCGACTGTGTGTCGATTCAATTCTCAAACATTTGCCCTTACCGTCAGTCAGCAAACATTTAAAAAAAAATGAATAAAATCTGCTGCATATTGGAAGAGAGCAAATGAATCAAACGTCAACAGAGGGAAAAAAAATGGTGCAACCCAACTCTTCCCCTCAGACCAATGAGCTTTGGTAGCACCGTGCATGGTGGTAAGAAGCCCCCCTCCTGTTCAGCAGGCCCTATTTACAGAAACAAAACTCAGAAGGAGCTTGATAGATACTACATTCAGAGAAAGGCTTTACAGCGCGCTCGTGTCGTACAACGTCAGACACCTGAAAGGAGGAAAAAAGGAAATACAACCTCTGAGTGACCGTAACAAAATAGACTATTCTACAAAAGGTCAACAGTAAAGGTTTATGATGCGTCTGACCTGCAGCACCTTGCAAAAACCATTCATACCTCTTGAACTTTTCCACATTGATGTTGCAACTACAGGCTTCAGTTCAGCTTATTAGGATTTTACAAGACATTGTGAACAGTGAAGTGGAAGGGAAATTATTTTCTACATATCTCAACAATGTTTGGTATGCAGTAGTTTGCATGTATGTAATTTTCTTTACCTGAGATGTAAAAGAAATTGAAAATTAACCCACCCTAAATATACCAAGATTGAGAAACATGGTGGTGGTGGTATTATGCTATCAGGATGCTTTCCCACAACCGAAGCGGGTTAGCTGATCGGTGTTGATATAAAGGACGGTAACCTGTTGGCTACATTGGAAGGGTTTAGATCAATGGTGTCCAAACTGCGGACTGTGGCCCATTTGTGGCCCTCACAATCATTTTTTGCGGCCCTGGACTACAATGTGGCTTCCAGCTGCATATTGGCTGAAGTAGAAAAATATATATTTTTTCTTATGAAGCAAAAGGCCTTTCAATACAATGCAGATAAATTAAAAATCTTTTCAAAAATAAAAATATTTGCAACACAAAATATCAATTTTTATTAAATAGGTTTTTGGCTTTAATAAGAAGAATTTTATAGTAGGCTGACTTTTTTTTAATTATTATTAAGATTTAGCTTAATAGGATATTCTACTTGTTAGACCACAAAGCTTTCTAGCTATACAGGAAAAGGTGTCTCTGAATGCAGGTGGACATTTCTTAGATCGTTAATTGTAGAAACATAAAACAAGAAAACATTTTTGGACTCTGTGGTTGAAATGAAACAAAAAGTGGACCCGGAAAAGTGGTGTGAACACTTTTTGCCCGACACTGAAGGTCTACCGGTTTGAGCCTCCCTCTGCACACATTCCCTCGCACAGGCTACTTTTCCATGATTCCAAATGTTGATTTTCATTTTCCAAGCTGACCTTCCAGTCCTAAAATAAATATTTCTCTCCTGCTTCGAAGAAAAGTTGAAAACTTGAAGCTCCTGGAATGTCGTGAAAAGGCTCAATGAATCAAACATAAAAACAATACAAATAATAATAAAAAACAACAACTCATCTCTGTATTTGGAAGTAGCCGTTTTTAGCTCATAGGATCGATCATTCAGAGGTCACTTGACAGACACCTGCCTCAGCCAGGCTGATTTAAGCTGGAGTGTGACGACAGAAACCCCAGCAGGATTGGGGTGAAAGTTCATTCAGAGTCACTTTTCCCTTTGGCTTGAAGCGCCAAAAACGTCCTGGTCCCACTTCCCGCCAAGAAACACGGAACGAGGCCACTTTCCTCCGAACCGACAGGAAGACTGACAGCGTAAATCCTCTAAGGTCAGGGGTCTCGACGACACAGGAGACACATCATAGCGCACATGTGCGCGCGCGCACACACACACACACACACACACACACCCAGAATGCCATGCGACTCAGAATAGATGCACAGTCATAAAAAAAATTTAAAAATCCCTTTTTTGTTATTCAAGCCGACAACGCCTAGTGAAACCTTATCCGCTCAGGAAGGCAGAGGCAAACGGCGAGAAAAAGAACTTCACAACCCCTTCCCCCATATGACAAATAATCAGAACCCCATCCGGGTTTTGTGGATAAAATGAGGCAGTGTTTCACCAGGATGAACGAGCAGCTCGGTCTCAGCACCGACCCCCCGGGAGTGATTAACCCAACGCTTCCTTTTGTTGTGTCTTTCACTTTTCCAGGAACGTTGTGGTGCTTCACGGAGCGCGGATGTTATTGCTGTCTGAGTATTGCTTCGCATCTAAAAAAAATAACTACCGTTCAGGCTAGTTATTGCTGACAAGAGCTGGAGTAACAGTAGAACCAACAGGTGATTGGAAACAGTAACTCAGAGCAGCTTGGAAGTGATGAGGCTCACATACACAACGCCTTGCAAAGGTTCTCCGACCTCCAGGAGCTGTTCTGAATCTACCACGTCACAAGCAGAAAGTGTGGTGTATTTCACTGGGATTTTAATAGATCAACTAAATAAAAGTAAGGTGGGACAAAACTTTAACGTGGTTTAAGTTTTGTCCATGGTGGTGGCAGTATTATGCCATGGGGATGTTTATTTTTTTATTATTATTATTCCTCAGCTAGAAAAGGAAAGCAGATCAGATGAGACCAGAATTAAAACTGCGTGCGGAGCGCTGTGTCAGCACCGCACGTCACCCTGAACACACCATGAAAGCACTGAGAACAAGCTGGTGGCAGCATCATGCTGCGGGGACGCTTCGTCAGGCACAGAGAATCTGGTCGGAGTCGGGTGGGAACGCGGCTGGAGCCAAACAAAGTGCCAGCCCTGGAAGTAAACCTCCGACAGGCTGCAGAGGTTCACCTTCCAGCAGCAACAACCCAAACGTTCCCCCGAACACCCTCAGCTGGAGGTTTTCTGCAAAGTACTTGCAGCGCACAAGACTTTTGATGCAAATTTTCTTCCAGTTCTCTATATTACGCTCAATTTCTTCCCCCCCCCCATAAAATCCCAACGAAACACATTTAAGACTAGTTGTAACGTCGTACAATGTGAAAAAGTTGAAAACTTTTGCAAGGCATCGTAATGCTGAAAGCAAAACAGCAACATTTAAAATAAAAAAAAACCAACAAATAACAGCTCCCATGACCTTGGTGTGACAGTTTTAGCTCTTATAATGCAGCGCATGTGAGGAACAGGGTGGTACTTTGTACATGGACAAAATGATTTGGGTCACGATGAAGTCAGGCAGCAGATAGCCTGCAGTGGCCACGCGCGGCGCGGCCTGGACTGTGCTGGTTGCATGCTAATTACAGCTAATCCCGTTAGTTAAAGTTGCTGCCCTGTGTTGTTTTTGCTCTCGCAAACAGATGCACCCCGACAAGAAGAACACAGCTGGGTGGCAAAACATGGATTCACAAAACAGAAAGTTTTTTTTTGTTTGTTTTTTTACAACAACAACCAAAAAAAAGGAGCTGACAGGGGGAAAAAAATACATCTTTATAATTTGGGTTGGTGACGTCACAAGAGGCACAAGAACCAAGCTGAACAGCCTGGATTAGCCTGGATTATGATGGACGACTCTGAACGCTGATTCTGAGCTGAATTTCGAGCCAGACGTTCAACCCTGTGTTGACTGAAGAAATTGATCGAAATGATGAACGTAGAGGGGGGGAAATGAAACAATAATACAAACGGATTTCGTCAGAAGAACGCTGGACAGATTCCTCATACCTTTTGTGATGTCACAGCAGGCATGTTTGTGCGGATGCTTCCTCTTTACGGGATTTCATTTCAGGTAGAAACAGATGCACCTCGTAATAAAATGTTTTATAGATTGGAAACTATATCTAAAGTGAGTTTGATTGATTTTGAAGAAAAGTCTGGCGTGGTTTTGCTTTAAATCTAATGGTTTTGATACCTTTCTGATTAAATCACAAAACATTGAGCTATTTTGGAAAACTTTGGTGAATTGGATCTCCAATTAGATCCTCAGATGTCTTTTTAAATAGTTAGATTATTAACATTTTTAAAAAAGAGTTAAATATAGGGTTTCTTTTTGGTTTGGTATATATGAACTAACAAAAATACAGAGGGCAAGTACTGCTAGGACGGGTCTGTTTGGAGCCTTTCTTTTTGTTGCGCATTTATGCGCAATCGACAGCCAGAAGAGGGAGGAGACAAAGCTGGGAGGAGGGGAGAGAAATGGGCGAGGCGAGGAGAAAAAAAAAGAGGCTGGATTTCTTCCTCGGCGTCTGTGGAGCGGATCAGAGAGCATCGGGTCTATTTTTAGCTCTCCACGTCTGCTCAGCTTTCGACGCACGTCCAGAGTGCAGTGGCGGCGGCGGCGGCAGCAACCGGGCGCCGCTGCTGCTGCTGCACCAGACGGGCTTCAAGTGTTCCTCAGCAGGGATCACTTCTGTGCATCATGAAAACAAGTAAAGCTACAGAGCTGTCAGAGGGAACATGGGGATGCGCTTTCCTGCAGAAAGTGAGAACACTCAGAGTGGGCAGGATGCAGCCCACCTGGGAAGACAGGGAGACGCAGCGGGCTTCTGCGCCTCCAACCAGAGCTGCACCCGCATCCCGACGCTGCGGCCCTCCTCGTAACGCTGGACGGCTCCAGCGGAGGAGCAGAGCTGACCCCCTCTCGTCCCACCCGGGGTCTCCGAGGTCACACGTCGCTGGGCGTCCGGGCACGGTGCGCCACGCTGGTCGGCACGCAGCCACAGCACACCAGCCACAGCGCCTTCTGGATCTCCTGGTTCCTGAAGGCGTAGATGACCGGGTTGATGACCGAGTTGTAAGTGGCAGGCACCAGCGTGGCGTAGGTGTACAGCGGAGGGTAGGTGTAGTCGGCTATGAGGGAATAGACGGTGAACGGCATCCAGCAGGCGGCGAAGGTGCCCAGGATGATGGCCAGGGTGGACACGCCCTTCCGGGTGGTGACGTAGTGGGGCGTGGCAGCCAGGAAGTGGTGCTGCAGGGCGATCTGGTGGGCGTGGCGCATCACGATCTTGCAGATCTGGACGTAGAGCTGCAGCATGAGGCCGAAGAGCAGCAGGAAGGAGACGGACAGGACCGCGATGTTGTTCTTGGTCAGAGGTCGAACCACGCTGCAGGTGACCTCCTCGGCCAGACAGTTGACCCCGGTGACCGGCAGCAGGCCGAGACACAGGGAGAGACCCCACAGCAGCACCAGCATGGTGTAGGTGAAGGCCGCCGTCCGCTCAGAGTTGTAGGTGAGGGCGTAGTATAGCGACAGGTAGCGGTCGACGGTGATGGCCAGCAGGCTGAAGACGGAGGCCGAGAAGGAAGCCACCACCAGACCCACCGTTAGCAACTGGGCCGAGTCTGAGCGGAGCAGGTAGGCACAGGTGAAGTGAAGGACCAGGCCCAGGCCGGCCAGCAGGTCGGCCAGAGCCAGGCTGCCGATCAGGAGGAACATGGGGGCTCTGAGCGTCGGGTTCTGCCAGATCACCAGCACCACCAAGGCGTTCTCGCAGGCAATCAGGGTCCCCGATGAGCACAGCACGATGTCCCAGGGGTTGACCAGCAGTGGCAGCTGGCTGGGCCGCAGGGGGGAGTCCTCCGCCGGGAACAACCCTAAGCTGGTGCCGTTGTCCATCGGGGCCCCGCTGGCCCACGCTGTGGGATCGGGGCTCAGCCAGCTGGGGGAGACTGGTGGCTCCATGTTCCCCATCTGAAATTAGAGCACACACTAAAATCACCACACGCAGAACGTTCAGGGGGTAAAAACACAAGCTCCATCAGTCTGTGGTGAGTGAACTGGATCGACTTTCCTCTTCGTCTTTGCACATTTTGTTCAGTCATGGAGCAGGCATAAGAATGTGAGCTCAGTCTAGACAAGGCAAGTTTATTTACACCAACCACACAGGAGGTAATCCGGAGAACTTGACTCCGCATCACAGGAAAGACAGAAAGACAAAGCATCAGAATAAAAGCCTTGCCTGAAGGTAAGATATGGATTTTAAAGAGACAAACAAATGTTTGAAACGGTTCATCAGTCAGATTGGTTTGATAAAAGCTAAAATAAAAAAGTTATGCTTTCAGTCCTGACTTAAAGGAACCGATCTCCCTGATCTCAGGTTTTCAGGGAGTTCGTTCCAGAGCTGAGGAACAAAACGACATGCCATCTCACCTTGTTGAGTTCTGGCCCGGGGAACACCGAGTTAAAACAATCTCTGAAGACCAGGAGGTCTGCATGGTTCATACTTGACTTGCAACGCAGAAATGTATTTTGACCCAAAACCATTTAGCGTTTCATAGCAGAATTTTTAAATCTGTATAGTACAATTATTTGATCCATTTTCCTGGTGTTGGTCAGGACTGGAGCTGCAGACCGACCAGAAATGATGTCACTGCTGTAATGCAACCTATTCAAATTGAAGGCGTGCAACAGTTGTTCCATGTCTTCCTTTGACAGGACATCGGTCACCATTTTTAAGATAAAGCTAAGCTGATTTAGTAACAGAACCTGGGAAGAGCATGGACCGCAGCATCAATAGACGCCGATCCACTGCATCCACTTTCAACCGAGCCCTTGATAAAATACCGCCTGTCTTTTTTCAACACAAATTCATTCACAGACTGTTTGCACAGTTAATAGGTAAGTCTTATTTTTGATATAGCCACTCTGTTCATACAAAATGCTAAATTAACCTCAAACGTGAATGTTTAAAAAAGCTTGAAACTAAGGTATTGGCTTTTATTTCAGGATAATTATTGTGCAGAATTATTTCGCAACTAAAGGAAAAACACGCATTTTCCCGTCTGACTTTTTTTTTTTAAATTGTCATCTGTTCAAGTGAGAATTGCAAACAAACATCACAGAACTATTACTCCTTTTTCGTTAGCTTTTTTCAGTTTCTTCGGTGTACAAAAATCCAGCTTAGGTTCAACCAATAAAAGTTTTTTTTTTTTTTTTAGATATTAAACTATGTCAGATATCTTTTATTTTTTACAGTAAAGTGCACAAGTTCCAGTGTGGAAACTTATGCTCAGCAAAAGATGGCGCCCTGAGCATTCGCCCACATCATCACCAAAACAGCCAAAGACACATGAATAAATCTCTTGGATTGTTTTGCTCTCTGATGAATGTTTTTCCTCCACAATAAATAAAAAAAAGCTGGGCTTTGATCACTTTGATTGAAAGCAGTGTTGTTGTTTTTTAATTGTTTTTTTTTTTAAATCACATTCACTCATTGCTCGGCACAGTCTCGGTTTTCTGAAAGTGGTACTGAGTGTTCTCTTGGCTCTGGAGACCAAACGCTCAAACACCACACTCTGCATTTACACCTCAGTGGAGAGGTGTGACGGATTGAATAAAGTTATTACACCAGAGGTCTGCTACGGTCAAGAAGATCAGCGGGTAACCGAAAGTCGATGCTTTTGCACCAACTTCCAGGTTGCAGAAGTCCGTGTGGACAGCGCTGCCCTGCCAATGGCCACCAGCTGCCAGAGAACACGCCGCACCCGTCACGCAAACGCCGCCACATCCCTGCGCACCTTGCTTTGGAAAAATGGCATTGCGCCTTTACGAGCTCAGCGCGCATAATGAAGGTAGAGAAGAAGAAGAAAAAAAAAAAACATGCGTTTCTCCATACATGCAAAAGATGCTCAGTAATCACCACTCTTCCTTCCATCCTTCCATCCATCCACTCTTCCTTCCATCCATCCACCCATCCTTCCATCCATCCATCCATCCATCCATCCATCCATCCTACCTTGACTCTGTGAGGTGCGACTCTCCGTCTAGATGGAAGAACGACGGCTTTGTGTTCCCATGTTCGGGATGCAGATGATGCGGCGCCGGCGGACAGAGACGCAGCTCAGCGAGGAGAGGAAGAGGAAGAGGAGGAGAAAGACCGGGGAGGGAAGAGCGCAGCGGCGGCTCGGCCACTGACGGGGCCGTGGTCTGCGGTGGTGAGGGGACGGAGCGGCGAGTGGAGGAAGAGCAGGAGGACGAAGAGGAGGAGGAGGAGGAGGAGGAGAAGAGATGAAGGTGGAGATGAGGATGATGATGATGCTGAAGGAGGAGTCCCAGAAGAGGCCCACTGGTTGAACCCCGGTAATTTGCCTCGCGCTTCATCAAGGACAAATTTATTGCCGAGTAAACAAGAGTTGTTGTTTTCCCCCCTAAATATGTAATTCAGGAGTTATTGTGGAAGATGTTTAACTTGTTTTTGGCGGGACGGGGAGGTTGCTGGATGCAGAGTCGCTTTGACGCCCCGCTATTCTGGTTCTGTCTGAGCTATTAACAGCAACCCCAGATGTGTGTCACCAGCCTCCTCTTCCTCCTCTTCCTGCTCCTCTTCCTCCCTGTCCTCCACCTTCTGCTGCGAAGTCCCCTCAGCAGACAGGTGGGTTGTGCATGATCATGATCATGCAGATGCGTACATTAGATAACTTTGAAAAACATCCAGAATATAACATATAGATTTAACTACACGTATTCTCATAAAACTTGATGACGTAGGAGCAAGAAAAATTTTGAAAACAGACGTGTGCACTTAAAACGGGTCCAGGCCGCTTTTTACACGTTACTGCATCAGTGCGGTGTGACGTGGAGAGGATCAGAGTCAAACGTTCAAATTTTCCACTTAACCTGCAGCTTTACTTTGGGATTCATGTCGGGGGAGACTAAAGAGCTGAAAGAAACAAAGGCATGCCTGATGAAATGCACTAAAAGATGCTTGGCTGTGCAAGACTTCACGCAATTTGAATTTCCAAATGATATCCAAAATTTCATTTCATCACGAAAGAGGACTTTGGACCAGTGAGCAACACTTCAGAACTTTAAGAAGAGCACTTCTTAAAGTTAAATACTGCACTTCTTTTCAGATTAAGGTAATTTAGCAGCATACAAATACAGCACTGAATTTATAAAATATGTAGGAACACAAATGTTTTCTTGAATTCCTTCCTAGTTTAGAGGGCCACATAAAGAGTTATGGTGGTCCGAAGACCTTACGTTTGTCACAGTTTATTATGGAAAAGCATTCCATGTTATTGTACAGTCAGAAATACATTTATTTATAGAGTAATCTTGATTCATCTTATATAATACATTTTCAGAGGGGTGGAGTTATGGGTCAGAATCAAAATCATTTTAAAACATAAGCATATGCAATGACATTCAAATTTATTGAGATGCATCTGTACGTGATGTTTGGCTGTGCTGTTTACTGGCTCTGAATGGATTAAAAATAACTAATTAAAAAAAAAAAAGAAGCAGTACTTAAACACACCACTAGATGGCAACGTCAAGACTCCCCATGAGTCATCAGTGGCACCTGTGGGACGCAGAAAGTGGAGCAGACTGTCCCTCAATCTTATTGGCTTTATTTCTTTTTCTTTAAAACAGAAAATGATCGCTTCACAACAGGCCTTTTCAAGCAACCCCCCACCCTCACATTAAGCTTGCCAACACCTACAAAACAGTATCAAAAGTGCACCATAGTGTTAATACATCTTCTCCGAGTCTAACATTTTCCAATGATAATATCTTAATGAAATATTTATACAAATACCATTCTGTACACTAGAAATACACAGCCCAGTGCTCCCTGGAAGCGGGGAGCCCACCTCCTGTCCGTCCTCCGTCACGTCCATGACCAAAAAAAACCCAAAAAACAACTTCCGTCACAGTTTAGGTTAACATTGTGGGAGGTGAAGACTCCAGGCCGATATTACGTCATATGAATTAAATACCCATTCACCCCACACCCAAGGCAAAAACTAGAACAGCACTCATACAGCCAGTCAAAATCTGTACAACCCTCAGTCCCTTCTTCTGAAAACAATCATGACAGTTTTGTTGCCGCCTCTCTCTGTCCTCGGAGCAGCAGCAGTGGATGAAAGGGAGCAGGAAGGGCATGGGAGGAGTGGGAGGGGGGTCAGCTGGTAAGTAGGGGGGGACTGCCACGGCTGAGCTGCGGTGCTTTGAAGCCTCAGGTAGAAGCAGGTATGACGCCGTGCGAGTTTACAATCTGCTGCTTCCCCCCCCACACAGTTAGAAGAGAGCGTCTCTCTGGGATGATGTGGCAAAGCGCTGCGGTCCACATCTGGTTTAGTCTCTGGACTGGTAAAAGAGGATGTAGCCCGACTCCGAGTTCTTGGAGATTTCAGAGGTGAGACCGTAGAACTCTTCGATGGCCTGGGCGTCGATTTTCTACAAGAGCAGAAGCGAGACGGACGGCTCAGTTCCAGAACAAACAGACACGAATCCTACGGGTGCTGAACACAAAACAACCTGCTTACCTCTACAATGTCGTCATCAAACAGCAACCAAAAGTCATGACTTTTTACAATGGCGATGTAGTGACCCCTGTTTGGTCCACTGAAAAAACAAAACAAAACAAAAAAATTTTTTATCTGTGTAGAAGTCTGTAGGCCTGAACAGGCAAATATGCAGATCCTCTGTTAGAAATAAGTTTGAACGAAACAACTTTCTGGCAGATAATTGAAGGTTTAGGGGTCAAAACTCAGATTTACATACAAACCCCAAGTGCATTGTTAATCCAAATGACCTTCTAAGATGATGCCGCCACCATCTTGCTTCACTTTTGGTGCCTCATTTGTGGCCAAAAGGGTAACTGCAAACTACAAGACATTATCCAAAACAATTTATGGGGGTTTTAACCAAGTTTTAACACCTGTTTTACAACCATTCATCTCAGTGAAGAGTTGCAGAGAAAATAAGAAAATGCTGCCGCATGTAGAGAATAAATCCAGAAGTTGCCAGAAATCCCTGTAGCTCCTTGAGTGTCAACTTTTTGATAGCAACTGAATGTGGAAAATGTGTAGCGTTTCCACTGTTAGAGCTGTTAGAGCTTACTGCTGCCTTTGAGGCAGACAGACAGATGGCGCAATGTGTGGGAATCACAAGTTCAATTCCATGACGGTTTTTTTTGTGAGGATTGTCGTCCCTACCTCCTCGAGTTCTGACCCAACATGTCGGCTACAGCTCTATTCTTGGACCTTTTGTTTTTTTTTCCTGCATCTTTTTGTCACTGGGAAATATGCTTTGTAAATAATGGATCCTATTCCATTTTACATGCAGATGAATGTCAAGTCTACAGCCTGAAGCTCACTCTATTGAGCCACTTGACTGATACGGATGGCTCTTAAATCACTAAGGGGTTTAGACTGGAGCTAGCTCAAACTAGAGATGACATTTTACACATGCAGGACTCTTATCCCACTCTAAAGTTCAACCTTTCCCTCCGTTATTGTTTGTTTCGTGCAGAGCTCAAGTCTGTTTCAGCACACACTTACTGAGAAACAAGCAGGGAACACCTTAAATAAACACAGACGTACAAACTCCCACTGTCCGCGTCAAAAGGAGAGATGTTTTAACACTGGTTGCTCATTCACATGCTCACCTCCCACAATGCACTACCACAGCAACCAGGTCGTATAACCTCTCGGGATTGGTGGCGTCTCCAGAGGTGTTGAAGAGACGGAGCTCCAGAGGGAAGACAACGCGATAGGACAGCTTGGTGTATCGCTGGAGCTGCTCCATGTACTTAAAGCGCTTGAGGTGCAGAGCCAGAATCATCGGCAGCTTCTTCACACGCATCCTGAAGGGCCGGAGACGAATGAAATGAACCGAGACGATTAGCAATTTACAGTGACTTTCACAATTATTCACCAGAAACTTCAATGTATTTAACTGGGATTTCAACATGAAGCACTGAATAATTTTGAGGTTGAAGGAACAGGCTCCAAGATTTGTTTTGACAAAAAAAAAAAAAAAAAGCCCCCAAAAAGTCTAGAGATTTTTCTTTAGAGGTGCAGCTCAACCAGATGTGCACATCTAAAGGTTGAAAATCTGGCCTACTCTTTGCAAAATAGCTCAAATTCAGTCACACTGGAAGGAGAGCATACTTCCTCGATGTGGTATTTTCTTCCAATTATCTCACGCTACTTTGTGTTGATCTCTCCCATAAAATCCCAGTAATAGTCATTAAAGTTTGTGGATTCAATGGGACAAAATGTGAAAAACTTGAGGGGCATAAATATTTTTGCAGGACATTGGACCCAAAACAATCTGCTCCACTGACCTCTTGTGCGCCTCCTGCTTGCTTCTACATTCCTCACAGTAGTATTTGTACTCACTGCACAGAGTCTCCGTGTTACTGAACCCTCTGAGAGGAAACAAAAGAAAAACAGTTAATCCAGTGTCCACACTTACAAAAATAATCCCACATCTTCCTGGTGCCGTTTGCGTGTTCCCAAACAAAGCGTTTTAGCTTGTTAGATAGCAGATCTTAAATCAATATAACTTTAACCTTTTTGATAGTACAGAAGTCTAAAAAAGGGTTTTAGGAAGCTTATAGCAACATGTCTGCTGTGAAAAATATGAAAAAGTTGCAAAGGAGCAGCTTAACCATTGTGCAGGGAACTACTGACTTGGCCAACTTGGACTCCGGCTGGGTAAAAGAACAACCTTGAAGTGGACTTCAAGTTAATGGGGAAAAAACCCCATCTATTTCTTTTCTTTTAGAGGTGCAGCTCAAATAAAATCATTAATAAACCTATGGCCAATTGCAGCACTGCTGACATTAGAAGAAAAACTTGAAGAACATTTATATGTTTCATGGACAAGTGATACAAAAACTATTGTTAAAATGTGTTGCTGGGTTGCTAAAGTCTTTAGCCTCCAAACATGTTCCTGTCAATTTACCATCATTTTCTTAACAGGCTTACAGTTGTGAGGTAGCATCAGAAAAGATTTAATGAACATTAGTGTAAGGGACCACTGACAGGACAGTTTAATTTTGATCGATCTTTCATATTTAATGCACAGATTCGAAAATATTCCATATTCTTAATTCTGTGACTTGGCCTGCGTTTTCCTTTGGTCTGGATTCGGACTGCACTCTGGACTTTGAAAATGGCTGCTATAAACCTTAACCGTTCAGCGCCTCACCGAAGTTTC